TCGGCCGTGTAAATCTCCCGTCGCTCGCAGCGATGGATCGCTCAAGCGATCCGTCGCTCCTGCAATTTGTGCACAATCGCTCCAATCGCAAAGTCTGACATCGGCCACTCACAGGCTAGACTGATTCAGCTGAACTCATCCTGGGTTGCTGCTCAGTTTAGATTAGTAATTAGAGAACTGAAAAATTCGTCCTTGCTTTCGCTTGCTTACAGTTACCTTATCGATCCAAAATCCGATTAAAACATATACATTGGGCTGTCCGACGGTTGTTTCATGTCCACTGGAATGGTTTTTGGTAGAATAAAGCGATCCGGATCTTGCTCATAACCACGATTCATCACCACCGCGTCTAGCAACAACGATAGCATTGCCGCGATGAATAGTTGACTGCAAAGTAAACTACCGTAATTAAAGAAAAGCATGTTCAACAACCCTCCACAAATAATTTGGGCAATGTCAAAACGAAAGAAAAACCATTCAGGAGAGCTCGCAAAAATAATACCTGACACCATCGCGAATCTTTACGCCCAAAAATGTAAGAGAATCACAGTAAAACTCACACCACAATAAACACCATCAATTTGAATTCGCCTCCTGGCGTTGGGAAAAACGCTAATATCGACAGCGAGACGAAGAAAGTCAAAGGCAGGCGAACGAGAGCAAGAAGAACAGAACGCTGGTGCAGATATGGTAGTACGATTGCCTTTAAATTCAAAAGCTTAGCACAATTTTCTGCAGATTTTTTTTCACAGTAAAAAAGACGAAAAAATGGTGGAAATTGCTTATAGTTAAAGAATAAAAGAGTGCAGTCCTGCTCACCTGCAAAGCCTCCATGGACGGATTATAAACACCATAGGCGATTTCAAAAACTACCAGACACAAGAACACGCGCTCAAAACGGGTAGCGGTCCAGTCGCTGTGTGCGTATGGTAATTCACGAATTCTGAAAGGCACAAGAGAAATAGATTTTCAAAATTTCTCAACAGAACAAGATTGTAAAAACTGTAGAGAAAACGAGATATAGAAAGTAAAGTGTATAAGGAATATACAATGTGACTTGGCATTGATGATTTGTGTGGCGGGGGGGTTTTTCCAGGCACACAAAACGGATTTCGCTAACCCGCGCGTCCGATGGACGAATTGCTCGTCATGGCTGGGGATGAGGATGGACTTAAATTCGTTCATTAGACCTTTTCCAGTTTGATCAACCCGTGGGCATTTGCCATTGGGCCGGTCCTGCAGCGGGCTTATATTGCGCCCACAAGTCCAGAACGAGGGGCCCAATACATGCTCTGGATCACAACTGCGGACAACAATAATGAATGTTAGTGTCTGCTGGGCCATCTGGCTGGCCAAACTTTTTCGTCTCAGCTCAGCCAGCGATCGTCTTCCTCCGGGCCATCACCTTTTACTCTGGGGCATACACCGCGGAAATCGTAGAGACCTGCTATAAAAGGAGTAGCCTTGTTCACCCCGTCTTTTGACAGTTTGTTTAGCGTGCTATAGTCCGTGGCACATACAGTCTCACATCAGCACACCAATCTACACTTTGCTATTGTGGAAAATGTCTGTGAAGTTGACTTTTCCATTATATGATTTGAACCAATCTATGGAGGGATCAGCGCTGACATGACTAATAAAAATACTCACGCTACAACGAAAACCAAAAAAGCGACAGTCATAGACAGCAAGAGTAGCCTTGAATTCCTCATTCTCTTCGAGAGCGAAGAAAACAGCAGTAATCCAGCCAAATACGAGGCAACGAATGACGCATAGATAACACCCAAGGCGTAGACGCTGTAAACGATAACAAAGAAAATAAACGTCAACTTTCACGTAATTAATAAGTACATATTTCCAACTCAATATACCAACATCAATCAGGTCTTGAAGTTTTCCTCAAAATTTGTACGACTAGTGCAATAATATGAACTTACCTCTTCATGCCACTGTGTTCAGCACGAATGAACAGCGGAGCCCACACGAACACGAACATTTGAGATGCCATCTCAGCACAGCATGATGTCACACTTATCACGAATGCCATCGGATTTGAGCGTATCACCTGAAATTTGGACGACTCGAACTGGGTGGAAGCAGAAGTAGCCTGGTTTTCCTTTACATTATAAAAATAGCCGAAGGCGAACCTAAGTATAAGCTCTAGACGTATTCCATGCAACAGAGCCATTAGATCGCCTGTGTTGCTCAAACTTGCTAGAGGTATGCCGGTGATACGACTAATTCGAGAAATCGTAACAACGACTGGCCGCGCATTTCACCTGTGCAACGAACTGCTAGGTCTGTCGTTGCACAGCAGTCCACCTATACTCGGCTGGTACCACTTAACCCACGCAGACGGTGGATTCAGGAAAGAGCTGGGAACAGTGGAGCATCTTCTATTTTCCCCTCCTTCCCAGTATAATAAATGGAATAGGCAGACCGTGGGATATTTTACAGCCATCACGAGCGAATCTGCACCCTAGTAAGCGCACAAAACGTAAAAAATCAGACTAGGACAATGGCATTTTTAGCATTAGCATTTTTGAGCGATTTTTCACTCGTTTAGTTATGTTATGATTAAGCTAAGCACATACCGCCAAGGCTTTCCCAATCACATTTCTGAACGGCAACGGCGCGTCCACCGAACGATTTTCATTCCATTGCGATGTGATGAATATTCCGCCTTCAAACCATGACAATTAGATACATTTATCGAAAAAATTGGTTTTTTAGAGCAGGACGAACTCACCAATGATCAGTGACACAATGGATAGGATATAAGGGGAGCACGATCACTTTCGATATACCAACAACTGGAATGTGGATGCGCTGGCTGACTGATAAATAAGCGCGGGCGCCCATACGAAGGTTGTAAGGGAACGTCGACTGGAATCCATTCAGGGAGGATAAAGTGTCGAAATGTAACACTGATGTTTCAATCTACCGTATCCTTATAAAATACACCAGACCAAATGAAATGGTGGTTCCGGAATTATTGGCGTCGAGAAGGCCTCGTTGAAATTGTCCGCCTAAGATGTAAATTGTTATGAAGGATTTGGTAGAGTACTTACGGTTGGGATAAAGTATGCGGTGGTGGGGGGGTGGAATAAAGAAACACTACCAACAAGCCGAAGATAGGTATATTAATCCTGGATTGAGCTGCGAGAAAGAGTGATGGGGTCTAGTGCAGTCCGATTCTCAGATACACCATCACAAATCGAAATTATTCGCCTGAAATCGCCCGCGTCTCTAACATAAACGCTAAGTTTTCACTGGCCTACTGCTAACACCCCAAACTCAGTCTAACGGCAGAAGTTTATGATGGGACAGAGCTGTCACTGGAGGTCCTTACACTACAAGTAACAAGCGTATGCTTTGTATAGCCTCATGGTCGTTGAATGTGTACTTTGGTGCATTGATAGCATACATGTTTTGGTGGATAATTTTGAAAATTGTCTAGGGGGAAATAATTCCTAAACTCCGAATGTGACTCAGAGATGATGCAATGTGTGTTGCTTGAAACAAAGGATACATGCTAGAACATCCGACGCTTTTTGTGCTTTTTTCGAACTATCTCTCTTCGAAATAACTTGGGGAGTCCTTCATTCAAACGAACGAGGCACTGCTTTAACACTTACCATTGCTGGAATGGACTCGTGACAAGAGCCGCAAAAAGACCATCCATTACACGCCCCACGAAGAGGATCACAAACGATGTATTAAGTTTACATGCACATCCGAAGATTCCGGCCATGAGACACAGAAGACAGAGAGCTCGACGACCTTAACACCAAAAGTGATAGAAACACACAGTATTACTCTACACACAGCACACATCTCCTAGCTTAGCGGTAGTCAGGGTAACAGTCCAGGACGTCACAGCTAGATGGCAAAGTTGTGTATCAGATTTCAAGGAACGATTATGTATTTTGTGAAGTGGGGTCGTATTTACGAGGACACGAGATGTGGAAATTTTCTACAGAGTAAGAAAAAGATGGCGAATTTAAAGGGATTTTGGGACGTTTTGAGTTGCTTTACTGGTGTGCCGACCTTAGAAGCCTACACCCTCTCGCTGACGTATCTTCGTGAGAGCGTGAGCATGGGCGAGAGAAGAGGGGAGGAGGGAGGGAAGAGAGAGGAAGAGGTAGTCAGCAATGAGAAATGGGTGAAGTTGTATGCCACGCGACACGGTTGACCCTAGTTGAAGTCCACTTACCGTATCTTGCCGAAAGGTGTACGCAATAGAAACTGAAGATCATGTTGGATATCAGACCGATCACGTAAAGGACGGCGATTTGTGATGGCAAGAAGTGGAGATCATAGAAAAACGCATAGAGGTACGGTGCCTGAAGACAAGGTTTTCAAGATTAGCTCGGCGTGATTTTCGTAACTATATTTTTCCATGAACCGCAGTATATTCCCCAGAAAAATCTTAAACTTGTTATCCTAGCTAAACCCATTCCAAGCAAAACCTCTGCAGCCCTGACGAGGGAGTGAGACATTTTTTGAAGCTGTTTTCCCCGAATGATTGTTTCTTCGAAAACCGTACTTCTACCACCTAGAGAGGCAAATTCTTCAAGATACTGCCCTTTCGGATGATTCTTTCATACGCTCTCTGGGAAAACGGACTCTTTCTGCCTTCGCTGTATATAACTGAGCGGGTACATATGCCACTTCTCATGCAACAAACCTTACTTTCCTACTAAAACCTGATCATGGGACTTGAACAAACGAAGAGCTTGAAAAAACGAAATCTATGCAAGAATCGAGCCTACAGGAGGAAAACCCTCAGTTCCTTGGGGTTCAAAGATTCAAAGATTTTCTCGTACTGAAAAAAAAACTGAGAAACCGACCTGTAAGCTTTCTGAGAAAAGGACCACTAAGTAGGGGAAGAGGAAACGTCGTTGCAGTCCCCGAAACTCTGCATTGTTTTCGGCAGCATCTCGTGGGTGAGTTCTTCGCTTTAAATTCGCCACAAATACGCTGGCCGCAGCACACAATCCACACCAAATCCAAGCGATCACATGCACGTCGAACATCAATGAATTTGCTTCTGAAATCGACACCACACACCTAGCAAATGGTGGATACTTGCACTCAATATTAAATTCGACCACAAAAATTGGTTTTGAACGAGATAATGAACAATCGGGAAATGGTGGCGACAACCAAAAAGAGAATGAATGTTCTGCTAGCAATTTCATGACGTTAAAAAGTCTCTAGTGACTCATTAATTATCGAACAGCCAGTGTGTCAGATATCGATTGCAAAAGGAGCCTACCTACCTTAGGTGCTTCCTACCTTGAAGTTTATCCGTATAGGTAAGAGCAGAAAAAGTACAAAGTAAAAAGTACAAAGAAAAAGAGAAGCTTCGAGAACAGCTAGCATGGAACCTTGAATTATATTCAACGAAACCAGAAGGATTCTCCATGACAACAGAAAAAGTGTCGACTGGTCGCTTAGAGGCGACGAAAAATGAAAGCGCTCATATTGATTACAGTAAAGGTTTTTGAGCGATCATCAAAGAAACGGGTGAAAAAGAAGCAATTTCACATATTTTCAGAGGTAGAAGAACGAAAATACTCTCGGAAAATACCACTTCAAAATACAGCATTACCTGGAAGTAAAGCATTTATTTCTATTCAATACAGAACATGAAAATAATATTGCTCTAACATCTAACGCAAAAAGAAGAACATGGGCAATGACCAGTAAGAACCGGGTAACACCCACTAAGTTTTTTTTTGTACAGACTACAATGTTCTATATATAACTCATGACTGATGATGAATTCCGAAAAATACAGGGATCAAAGAAACCGGGTATTTCGCTAATGCCTAGAGAAAAGCACTGACATAAGGAAAAAAGTGACCGCCAAGCGAATTCGTCATAAAAGGCAGAAAACATCAAAATCTTAACAACCTTCACTGACGTACTAAGCCACTTTGAGAGCTAATTTTAGTGGCTTGTAGAAGCAGAATTAAGAAACCCACAACAACATGGATAAAAATTTTGAAGCTCTTCGCCATTATAAACTCAATATATGGCTTATCATCGACATTGAAGAACCTCTGTACGACGAGCCGAAATGGTTCCTGAACAGCTAGTTTCACCACATCTTTCGAATAATATCCTAATACTTATGGGAGGTGAACGGCTTTCAGGAGAAAAGAAACTGTTCTAACGCAGCTAAGTGCCTCTGTATATCCAGATATTAAGCCTAATTAAGCTGTGAAAGCACACTTTCGGTATAGAAAACCTACGCTTTTTTCCTTTGCTACCTAGCTACTCCTTTCCACTGGTACATATTCTTCCCTGTGCAGATTCACTTTACCGCACCCACTACCCTTATGTTATCCTTGATACGCACCTAGCATAGCGGCAGTGATTTTGATTAGCGGCAGCACCGATCATGGATACGATAAGGGGCGCATTCTGGTATAGTTGAAGAGCACAGAGCACACTTATCACAAAGCTCCTCATAAGGATAACCAGAACGTCGATGAAAAAGCATTTCTAGCAAGAAGTGGTACAAAACTCTTAGGAAAACATGTAAAGTCATATAAAAAAATTCTCAGAACTAGAAATGTTGTACAAAACAACTCCACAGATATCGGAATAGCGACGCCAACTACCCTACTTAGGAGCCATAAAATTGAAAAGATTAGACTTAGTAGACTTACCAGTGGTTTAGATGATGGAATAGCTCGTATATGAGCACACGTTTTTCCCTATCCGGTCTTTTCGGCAGCACTTTGTGATAAGCCGCCCAAAAATCTTTTCCATACCCGCCAAACATATTCATGATGCCTTGTTCGAATTCTGGATCGCAAGAATGCACTTGAAGGGTCGAAAATTACTAAAAAAAATGGATGCAATCACAAGGAAGAAAAAGGTGTAGCGGTGCTGTGAACAGCGGAGAAATGCTCGCATAAACTTCATTCTTTTGTTTTGAATGCTCATTCAAAAAGAAGCAGCTGATTGCATGACTAATCTCACGTGTTTCACAATATTCGAATAAAAAGAAGCAATCGAGCCTGGAAAGACTTGCGAGCTACACCGCACATTAGAAACGACCATACCTGGACCATCACTGCAACTGGACCAATTGCCACCCCACAAGTCACCGTGCACCAGTGCTGGCACCACACCGGCGCATGGCGCGAGGAGCGTTGTTACTTTTCTCTCTAGTTCTGGCCAAAGAGATAACACATCTCTCGCTCCTTTCTAAAGAAATAAATGCAAATGTTGCAAAAGGAGAATAAAAGTTACCCATTGAAAAAACATCCCTTCTATTTACCTCAATCAACATATCAACCTGGACCTTCAGTCGGTTTCTGACGAAAAATGCCTGTAAAAAACAATAAATCTGGAACTGAGCTCATTCACAGAAGGTTTCACCAACCGCCCAATCATCGCACCAGTCATTTGGTTGAGGAATAAACCCGCAGCACGTCACTGTGTGGAATCCGAACTGCTTGACACCATTCTTGTAGCTGTCACCACTGGTGGAGCTGCCGACAAAGCTTTCACTCCGTGACGAATCGTTAAGGCGGTCCTCATTATACTTGTGCATCCTGTATTAATTAGCGCCATTTGTTTTCCTATCATACCGAAAGAAAGAAAAATGAAAAGAAAGATGCAATCCAAATTAGCGACTAAAACACATTTTTTTGAATAATTCAAAACTGTCGCCAAGAAACACCAGGAGGATCAACGGTTCAATTGGCCAGACTTCTGGAAGCTCTAAACGGAAGAAAAAAGCCTTCATTCCCGAGCTAGAGCGATTAACTGGGTTACTGTAGCACGCGACAGGAGGTACGAGCTGAGATAACACGAAACTTTTTGACCCAGTGCAAACTTCAAAAAACCAGGTAACAGAGCCAAAACTTGTGCTGCTTCAAACCACATTAATAATGGATGAAGTCAAACAGGCATAACAATGGTGATGTTATTTGAGGAA